AACAACACACTCACATCCACACACACACCCCACATACACACACACACTGTGTGAGACTGAGATAATGTGCAATAATGACATGCTGAGTATATGCAACTGAGCTAATGTGCAATAAAGATACACACTGAGGGTGTGTGACTGAGCTAATGTGCAATGAACTTAAGAGTATTCAGCTTCAGTTTCTGATGAAACTTCACAGAATCGATAACTTTCTTTTCTTTCCCTTTGTCTTTCTTGGTGGTACTGGGTTTTGAATCCATGACCTCTACTGTTGCAACTGAGAATTTTCAACTCCATAAGCTGAAACTTCACCATGGTTTATTAATACATAATGGCTTTGGGGGGTGCCAGTACTGGAGCTGAAAACTCAGGGCCTCTCACTGTCACTTGGCTTTTAGTTGGCACTGTACCTCTTGAGTCACACTTCAACCCACAGTTTCCCTTCTGGATTTTTGGTAGTTAATTGAAAATAAGCATCTCATAGAGCTTCCTGCCCAGGCTGGTTTCAAACAGATCGTAGATCTCAGTCTCCTGAGCAGCCAGAATTATAGGTGTGAAACACCAGAAGCCCAGCTTCAATAGCTTGAACTCAACTTCTCCAGCTTGCTAGGCAGTACATTTACTTTTAAAAATAAATTTTGGGGGAGGAAAACTACTGTTATTGTGCTTAATCAGGGTAAACACCCATAACAGTAAAGTCTAATTGTTTAAAAAAAAAGTGACTTTTTACAACTTACTTTCATTCTCCATTTATATGCAATCTCCTATTACTATGATTAATGAGGTGTTTAAATAACTTTGTCTTCTATTCTACTGCCTAAACCAACAGTTGCTCCATATCAGCCTGGAGAGAGAGGAGGGAGGGGGAGAAACAGGTCAAGCAATATTTGCTGATATAGGGATACCATATAAACAGAAAAAGCTAGAAGTGGCACTGTGGCTCAAGTAGTAGAGTGAGCAAAAGATGCTCAGGAACAGTGCCCAGGCCCTGAGTTCAAGCCCCAGGACTGGCAAAAGATAAAAAATAAAAAATAAATCGACTAATGGTTTTTTTTTTTTTTTTGGGTCCGGTCGTGGGGCCTGAACTCTGGGCCTGGGCACTGTCCCTCAGCTCTTCAGCTCAAGGCTAGTGCTCTACCACTTGAGCCACAGTGCCACTTCCAGCTTTTTTCCTTTTTGCTTATGTGGTGCTGGGGAATCGAACCCAGTACCTCATGCAAACAAGGCAAGCGCTCTACCACTGAGCCACCTTCCCAGCCCGGATTATTATTATATTTTTTGAACGGGTCCTAGGGCTTGAACTCTAAGCCTGGGTGCTGTCCCTGAGCTTTTGTGCTCAAGGCTAGCATACTACCACTTGAGCCACAGCTCCACTTCTAGCTTTTACATTGGAGGTAAGAATTTCACAGATTTGTCTGACTGGGGCTGGCTTTGAACTGTGATCCTTAGATCTCAGCTTCCTGATTAGCTAGGATTTCTGTAATGTGCCATGGGTGCCTGGCAACAATGGCTTTTTTTTTTTTTAAACAACCCTGATTTGGCCATGAAGACACATGTATAAACAAGTGATTTTTTTTTTTGGTCCAGTCGTGGGGCCTGAACTCTGGGCCTGGGCGCTGTCCCTCAGCAATTCAGTCAAGGTGAGAAGTCTATCACTTGAGCTACAGCGCTACTTCTGGTTTTCTAGTGGTTTATTGGAGATAAGAGTCTCATGACATTCTTGCCCAGGCTGGCTTTGAACCGTGATCCTCAGATCTCAGCCTCCCGAGTAGCTAGGATTACAGTGTGAGCTACCAGTGCCTGGCTAACACAGGAGGTTTTTAAACACCACGGTTTTTGCACACTGAAACAATTTTTCTCATTCCAATGTTGTCATGTTATAAATAAAAAGACAGAGCAAAGCATTGGTGGCTTATGCCTGTAATCCTAGCTACTCAGAAGGCTGAGATCTGAGAATCATGGTTCAAAGCCAGCCTGGGAAGAAAATAAAGTCCTTGAGACTCATCTCCAATTAACCACCCCCAAACCAGAAGTGGTGCTCTAACTCTAAGTGGTAGAGTGCTAGCCCTGAGCAGAACAACTCAGGGACAGTGCCCGGGCTCTGATTTCAAGCCCTATGGCTGACCAAAAAAAAAGTAGAAAACTTCATTATTACTGCTCAGATGTGCTTATACACAATAATAATCTGTGATCTGGGAGAGGTGAGAATGTTGAAAGGAATGACACTGAGGCCCAGAGTTCAGGCCCCATGACTGACAAAAATCAAAAAAAAAATCCATTGTATTCATAAACTGCTCTGTAAAATGGCAGCCTCTATGTACAACTATTCAAAAATAAAATTAAAAATAAAAAAAAATCTGTATTCTACTTTTCATCATTCAAATTTACAAAAGTTTAACTTTGGATGTTCAGATACTATTGGCTAACATTCTTTCTTGCTCCACAATTATTAACATAAGTTTTGTTTGTTAATTGTGCTGGTCCTTGAACTCAGCATGTGGGCACTGTCCCTGAGCTCCTTTTGTTCAAGGCTAGCGCTTTACCACTTGAGCCACAGCTCAACTTCCAGATTTTTTCAGTAATTTATTGGAGATAAGAATCTAACAGACGGGGCTGGGAAGGTGGCTCAGTGGTAGAGCGCTTGCCTTGCATGCATGAGGCCCTGGGTTCGATTCCTCAACACCATATAAGCAAAAAGAAAAAAGCTGGAAGTGGCGCTGTGGATCAAGTGGTAGAACATTAGCCTTGAGCTGAAGAGCTAAGGGACAGCGCCCAGCCCAGGCCCAGAGTTCAGGCCCCATGACCGGGCACCCCCCCCCAAAAAAAAAGTCTAACGGACTTTTGTCAGTTGTGGGGCTTGAACTCTGGGCCTGGGCACTGTCCCAGCGCTCTTCAGCTCAAGGTGAGCGCTCTACCGCTTGAGCCACAGCACCACTTCTGGTTTTCTAGTGGTTTATTAGAGATCAGAGTCTTATGGACTTTTCTGTTCAGGCTGGCTTTGAACAGCGATCCTCAGATCTCAGCCTACTGAGTAGATAGGATTACAGGCATGAGCCCAGAAAGTCATTTGTTTTGGAGGTACTGTCCCAGTTGTTTGGGAGTCCTTCTACAGTGTCACTGAAAAGATCTGTGTTTGATTTATCTTTCAGGAGATGGATTTTTGTAACTAGTATCAGTTCCTTTTCTCCTTGGACACCTAACATAGGTCAGGAAGAGGGAAGACTTTTATACTTGGTGTTTCAGAAAAACCATTCTGTTAAATTCCTGATAAGATGTATCCAGCTTCAATACTTTATATAAAGTTTTCTCTCTCTCTCTTTCTTTTTTTCTTTTTTCTGGTTGCGGGGCTTGAACTCTGGGCCTGGGCGCTGTCCCTCAGCTCTTCAGCTCAAGGCTAGCGCTCTACCATTTAAGTCACCGCGCCACTTCTGGTTTTCTGGTGGTTTACTGGAGATAAGAGTCTCATAGACTTTCCTGCCCCAGCTAGCTTTGAACCATGATCCTCAGATCTCAGCCTCCTGAGTAGGTAGGATTACATGTGTGAGCCACTGGGGCCTGGTTTCTTCTTCTTTTTAAAAAAAAAAATTTCTTTTCTGCTTATGTGGTGCTGAGGAATCGAACCCAGGGCCTCATGCATGCATGCAAGGCAAGCACTCTACCACTGAGCCACCTTCTCAGTCCCTTTTTTTTTCTTTTGTCAGTCGTGGGGCTTGAACTCTGGGCCTGGGTGCTGTCCCTCAGCTCTTCAGCTCAAGGCGAGCGCTCTAACACTTGAGCTACAGCGCCACTTCCGGTTTTCTGGCGGTTTATTGGAGATAGGAGTCTCACGGTGTCTCCTGCCCGGGCTGGCTTTGAACCGCGATCCTCAGATCTCAGCCTCCTGAGTAGCTAGGATTACAGACGTGAGCCACCAGTGCCCAGCTTTCTCAGTCCCTTTTTTAAAAAAATTTTTTGTTGTTGTTGGTCATGAGTCTTGAATCCTGGGCCTGGGCGCTGTCCCTCAGCTCTTTAGCTTAAGGCTAGCGCTCTACCACTTGAGTGACAGCGCCAGTACCCGTTTTCTGGTAGTTAATTGGAGGATTACAGATGTGAGTCATGGGCGCCCAGCTTAAAGTACTCTCTTTTATATACTCAGGTAATCAGCAAAGCTGCTTGTAGGTTTAGGATTCTTACTCCTACTTGACCAGTGAATGGCAAGAAAGATCAGAATACTCATTACCTTACTCATATAACTCTAACCCCTCTGTACAGTATTTTTACAATAAAAAATACATACAAAAAGAAAAAAAAAGGTCAGAAGCAGGATTTGTGGTGCTATCTGATCCATTCATAATTCACTTGGAGAAAAGGGCTGGAGAAAGACACCGGAGTCTGGGCATGAAGTAGGAATTATGAGTATATTCAAGATGTTGAAAACAGGGCTGGGAATGTGGCTTAGTGATAGAGGGCTTGCCTTGCTTGCATGAAGCCCTGGGTTCCATTCCTCAGTACCACATAAACAGAAAAGGCCAGAAGTGGTGCTGTGGCTCAAGTGGTAGAGTGCTAGCCTTGAGCTGAAGCAGCTCAGGGACAGTGCCCAGGCCCAGAGTTCAAGCCCCAGGACTGTCAAACCAACCAAACAAACAAAATGATATTGAAAACAGCTCAGTTCCTGCTCTTTGGCTCAGAGCTTGCGGAAAGTGAGACTAGCTTTTCGTGGTCAATTCCTAGTTTGGGTACCATCATCCTCACGCCTGAATTACCCAAGTATTTGTTCTCGTCAAACTGAACTGAGTGAGGCTGACAACACACACTACTACATGCTCTCTTGTGTTTCCCAGGAAGGCCGAGCAGAAGTTCTGATCTCCCCGCAATTTCAAGGCTGCAGGCTGGGGTGGGGGCGCATGTGCAAGAGTCTGGGACGCGGCCCTCCAAGCGGCCCCGCCAGACTTCAGGTGGGAGGAGCCTGAACGGGCTGGGCGGGGCGGGGCGGAGCCCGGAGGGCAGGAGCCGGACAAAGTCCGCCCGCTCAGAGCCGTGCACCGCATGGTGGGGCGTTCCCGGGGCCCAGCGCCCGCACACAGACCACCAGACGCTTGGACAAATATGCTCTGTACCCTAGGGGAGTCGGGGCCGCTTCCGAGGTTGGTCCCGGCGATGAACCGGTAACTCGTATCCCGTCAGGAAGAACGCAGAGGTGGTCAGGCTGTACTGTTTCTTTAAGACCCTGTTCCGGCTGACACAGAGGGTGAGTAACCTGGCCCCAGGTTCTGGGAGAAACCCCCGAGAAGAGGTCGGTCCTTAGTTCGGTCTTGGTAGGTAGAGGAGAATGTAAATCTCTGGGGGAAATAGTAAATGGAGAGGGGCAGAGGGGCAGAGGGGCCTCCACTTTTGAGTCAAAGCCCTGGCCTATAATCTTGTAAATTTTAACAGAGATCCTGGAGCCTGCGGTGACACGAAGCAGGACCAAGTTCTAAAGAGAGGAGGAGAGCCCATCACCTGGCTTCAGTGTTCCCAGGGCGCAGTCCATACATCTCGGTAAGCTCAGACGCTTGAGAACTATTGGGGTGAAGGCCAGAGCTTGGGCTTCAGCGGTGGATGGGGAAGTAGCAGAACCCCCACTGTGGGCTGTCAGATAGTCCCCCGGTAAGCCATCTAAAGGCAGCTTCCTGGACGGAGAGAGAAGTAGAGTTGGACACATGGCAGCCACCTGAGGACCTCGAAGGACACAATACCAAGGAGTGGCAGACACTGTGCCTCACTGGAGCCCACTGGGCAGAGGGGTGTGGCTGAGTGGTTTGATGACATGGGCAAGCAGAATTCTGAGAATTGTGAAGTCACAGAGGAAGTGGGATGCTGTCTTTTGGGGCCTAGGACTGGCTGCTTGGGGACAAGAAAGGGTTGCCCAGGCAGACACAGTGCTTTCTGCCTGTGGAAGGGAGAGCCTCTGGGATCAGCAGGGCATTTCTGGTGCCCAAGGTGGACTGATGAGTCGGGTGAGGCCACCCCACAGTAAGGGTCCCCCGCCCCGTCCTACAGTGGAATAAAAACAGTCCCATGTCTATCCTTTGGAAACCTCAATACCATCCATACCATGTGGAAGGAAAGCAGTAGAAAGACTGAGAGGCACATCCTACTGTCTCCCTTTCCTCCAAATCTCCTTCTAGGCAGACCACATTTGCTCTGTCCAAGGCTAGCTCTGTGAGCTTTCTGTTCCTCCTGAGTAGCTGACGTTCCTCCTGAGTAGCTGACGTTCCTCATTTTGGGCAGGGTTCTGGGGAATATGTGCTGGAGAGCAGATGCATCCAGAAGATCATCACTGATCCCTACTCTCCTACTTCTTCAGATGCAGAGGCCTCCATGGCTGTGATAAGCCTGCTGTTCTTGGCAGTGATGTATGTTGTTCACCACCCCCTCATGGTCAGTGACCGGATGGACCTGGATACACTAGCCAGGAGTCGGCAGCTGGAGAAGCGAATGAGTGAGGAGATGCGGCATTTAGTGACAGAGTTTGAAGAGAGAAAGCGAGCAGCTGAGCAGAAGCAGAGGGCAGAGAATTTCTGGAGAGGAGACACATCCAGTGACCAGTTAGTGCTGGGGAAGAAAGACAGGTGGCCATTTCAGGCTGAAGGCAAGGAGGGTCCTCTGGGCTGGATGCTAGGAAACCTTTGGAATGTTGGCCTCTTTTGCCTTTTTCTCATCTTTGAGCTCCTGAGACAGAACATGCAACACGAGCCGGGCTTTGAGTCCAGCAGTGATGATGAAGAAGAGGAAGTCCGTATTGTGCCAGTCACCACTTACAACTGGCTCACTGACTTCCCCTCCCAGGAGGCCCTGGAATCGTTTTACAAACACTATGTCCAAAATGCCATTCGTGACTTGCCTTGCACCTGTGAGTTTGTGGAGAGCTTTGTGGATGATCTCATTGAGGCCTGCCGGGTACTCACTCGCCAGGAGGCTCACCCCCAATTGGAGGACTGCCTGGGCATTGGGGCTGCCTTTGAGAAGTGGGGAACCCTCCATGAGACCCAGAAATTTGATATCCTGGTGCCTATTGTTCCGCCACAGGGCATGACGTTCATCTTGGAGATGAGAGACCCAGCTCTTGGCCACCGCTGTGGTTGTGTGCGGTTAGAGTCGGAATGTATGTGCAAGCGAGAGAAGGTCCTGGGGGATGTGTTGTGCCTGGTGCACCACCACAAGGACCATCCGCTCTCCTTGGGCAAGAGTGCCAGCTCTATCAAAGCTGCTTTCTGCACAGGTTTCCACTTGGATGTGCGTAAGACTGTGCAGTGGTTCCGGAACATGCTGGGCAATGCTTGGGCCTTGGTGGCCCATAAGTATGACTTTAAGCTCAGTCTCCCACCATCTTCTACCTCCTGCAAGCTCAGGTTGGATTACCGCTCAGGCCGCTTTCTGTTAATCAACTTGGTCCTGGGGGTGCAGCGGGAAGATACCTTGGTCTACCTGGTGAGTCAGGCCTCTGAGCAAGAACAGCTCACTAGCGTGGACTGGCCTGAGTCTGTTGCAGCCTGTGAACACTTGTTCCTGAAGCTGGTAGGGCGCTTTGCTCCCGAGAACACATGCCATCTCAAGTGCCTCCAAATCATTTTGAGTCTCTGGGACCACCAGAGCCTTCCCACTGGGGCATCCTGCCCCATCCTTACCTCCTATCACTTCAAAACAGCCCTCATGCACCTGTTGCTACGGCTGCCCCTAGCAGACTGGCAGCATAACAAACTCTCGCAGAGGCTCCAGGACCTCCTCTGGTTTTTGGGCCGTGGTATCCAGCAAAGGTCTCTCCAACATTTCCTCATTGGCAACACCTTCCTGCCCCTGACTATCCCAATCCCTAAGTCATTTCGGGATGCTGAGCCTGTCAATCTCTTCCAACACCTTGTGCTAAATCCTGTGGCACACTCACAGGCAGTGGAGGAATTCCACAACCTTCTAACCCAGGTGAAAACTCTGCCCTGTGCCCCACTGGTTGGAGCACTTTAATATAAAGGCCATTAAAAAAATGGGAGAAGGTATTCTGATTCCTCAGGCTGCAAAAGAGTTTATTTTTCACACCTATCAGTGGTATTATGTGACCTTCACTTTGCCAGTAGGAGCTATAGTAGAGTTAGAGAAGTGAGATGGTCGAGAGGCTGGATGCAGCTTTAAAACCTAGGGTGGGGCTGAGGTTTTTTTCCTTTGTCTTAACTTTGACCTTGCCCCAAAGACACCCCAGGGAAACAGTTGTTATGGGAGTATCTTGCTGTTTAGAAGCTGAGATCCTAAGAAGTTGTGTTTCTCTATCAACACTGGAAGCAGAAGAGAACCCGAGAATACCTCTGTTCCAGTTTACTCCTTGTATGTGAATGAGTTTCTTTGTGAATTGGTTTTCTTGTTGAACGGTTAGTTTAAATACCATCCAAACTGATGGCGCTTCACTCCATCTCAAATACTGTGAAGGCAACTTCTCTCATACTGTGAAGGCAACTTCTCATACTTTAGGATCTAATTATTCACACCTTCACTGTTTCAAAATATAACCAACAATGTTTATTTTCCATTTTTTGTTGTTGTTGGTCATGGGGCTTGAACTCAGGGCCTGGGCTCTGTCCTTGAGCTCTTTTGCTCAAGGCTAGCACTTTACCAAAGAACATGCCACTTCTTTTGGTTTTCTAGTGGTTAATTGGAGATAAGAGTTTGTACAGACTTTCCTGCCCAGGCTGGTGTTGAGCCGTGATCCTCAGATCTCAGCCTCCTGAGTAGCTAGGGTTATAATCATGAGCCACTGGCGCCTGGCTTCATTTTCTTAATTAGTCCTACTTTCATATGACCCAGCTATTTTGGGGCATCTGAGAAAAGTCTCAGTATTCTCCAAATACTTGTTAGCATCGATTCACAAGCATTAAGTCAAAGGGTGCCTGTGCCATAATTGAGATAACCAATTTCCTGTAATTCATGAGATAGCCAACAACTGATGACCTGTTTCAGTGCCTAGAAGTATCATTATAAAGCCCTTCATGAGAAAAATCTTTGTGAGGACTCTAGATAATAGTTACTTTGTTTCTGAGGGGGAGCCCTAGTTTGTTAAATGAAAAGTTTAGCTACCATATGTAGCCATGCGTTTCTGGTAATGCCTTTGAATTCCCTTTTCAAAAATGACAAAGGGATTACTTGAACTATGCTTGTGAAAAATCAGTCATAATAATCCAGGCCCATTGCCAGAGCTGGACCATATAACAGGACTGTAAAGCAGTTCAACTCTTAAGAGTCCTGATTCCAGAGATAGGTATATTTTCCCCTTCTCTCAAAACTTTGAGCACTCTGAGGAGTGTTAAGATAGTTGTGGGTGTGGTTGTTTCTGGAAACATCAGTGTTCCTATCCTGCATTACCAGGAAGAGCTGCTGAGGAGGAGCTGTTGGCTCTGAATTTGACTTGACCTGGGGATGGTGAGGGGTCACATGCCTTTAGGGTTTTTGTAGTAGAACTCACACTTTTCACTCAGGAAAAAAAATGAAGTATTTCATAAAAAATATTTGGAAATCTTGCTGCACTGAAGCTACTGCTTCTTTCAAGGTGAGAGGCAATGGTTTTATGCTGATGGGCTTTCAGTTTTTAAAATATCCATATATATTTTTTGTTTAGTAAATCATTTTCTGGCATCTTAATTTCCAATCAATAAAGGAGGTTATTTTCTGTATAAATTGGAATCTTTGTAGTAAAACACTGAAGGTAAGTATTCTCAAATGCTTGTTCCCAAGAAGTTCATGTTACCCTGACAGCTCCATCCAGTTTATCCTGGTGTTTCTCAATGTCCCTTAAACCAGTCTTCCCTGTGGTTTCCCAGTGGCAAGGCCAGCATCCAGGAAAGAAAAATTCAAAATGTTAGGGAACTTTTAGGCCCATGATGCTCAAACCAAAATAATAACTAAGTCAAAAGATTTTAATGGTTTCAAACAAGTGCTAAAAGTCTGTTCAGGTACAAAGAAGGGAACAGGATTTCTTGTCTAGTAGAAAACATGAAGTTATGAGTGGGTAGAAGATTACAAAGAGAAGAGTCAGCTTGGGTGGGGCAGAAGGTACAAGAAAGAGTACAGGAAAAAAAATCAAAACAAGTAGTAATGGAAAGAACAGACCTACAGTGCTCTGGGAATACTCTCACAAAAGGGAAACCTCTTCAGATAGGAAGTTAACCTTTATTCTGAAACAAAACCTGATGAGCCCCCAGGATGTAACATAGTGTTCTAGTAATGGGAATACTTAGAATTCACTGAGCATTGCCAATGGGGGTTGGCATCGTTCTAACTGCTTTACATCTGACAATTCATTTAATAATCACACGACAGCTTCACCAATCAGATCTTTTATCCTCTCTATTTTACATATAAGGAAACAGGCATAGAAAGGGCATACAGAACTACTAAATCGGAAAGCCTGGAAAAAGTACTTGTACCAGCAACTTGTCAGTATAGTCTTTAAACAACATTTAGGGGTAAAAGTGCTGTGAAAAGCAAAAGACACTGTATTTTAAGATATGGGATGTATTTTGGGGGGGAGGCAAAAGAGAGGGGGAATTCTAGAAGACAGAAATTGTTGGTTCTTAGCCCAGTATTTAGGAGGTCAAGAATTTCCTATCACATACAAAAATTAAAAGCATTTTCTTAAAGGCCAAAATGAATGCAAAGACATTTCAACTACGTGTTGTTCCAGTGACTTGGTGGTTTATATCAGGAATACATTATGACAAGCCAGCTGCCGGCTGGAAGGTCAGAGTAAATTTAAAGACAGACGGTTGCTTGTTCAGGTAGCCAGTTAACTCGATTATTCATCTCCTAAACTAAAGCTATTCCCTCTGTTCAGGAGAAGTAGAATCTGAAGGAGTACAATGTCGAAGTGATAGTTCCAGTATGGCTTTTTTGGAAGCCTAGGAATGGGGAGGGGCCCTACCACTTTTTTACAAACAGGAATTGAGCTTTGAATGCCACTGATATCACTGATAAATCATTCAATCTTTTGGCACTCGCAGTAGCTTAAACTCTGAAACAAAGATAGCATTCAGAACAGGACGTGAAAAACCTGTCTGCACTAGGAATGCCTAGCCCACAGACACTGGAGATGGAGCTGGCTCTGCCTCACTGCACACACAGGAGCCCTGCAGTCAGCCCATTTCTGTCACAGAACATCAGCTAGTGGGTCACTAGCAGCTTTCTGCCAGGGGTTCCAAGTTCTTTAAGGGCTCCCAACTCACTGTCATCTAGTATCCTCCCAATCCTTGTCATCCTTAGTGAAAGCAAACATGGAAGCCTGAAGAGCATACCTGTTCCCACTTTCTTCAAGTGAATTCAACAAGCAGGGCCCCAGTGGCTCACACCTGTCATCCTATAAATTTAGGAGGCTGAGATCTGAGGATCAAGGCTCAAATCCCGCCTGGGAAGAAAAGTGTGAAACTCTTCTCCAATAAACTAGCAAAAAACCAGAAGTAGAGGTATGGCTCAACTGGTAGAGTGCCAGGCAGCCTTTTTCCCTTAGCAAAAAAGTTAAGGGTAAAAGGCCCTGAGGGGCTGGGAAGGTGGCTCAGTGGTAGAGCGCTTGCCTTGCATGCCTGAGGCCCTGGGTTCGATTCCTCAGCACCACATAAGCAAAAAGAAAAAAGCCGGAAGTGGCGCTGTGGCTCAAGTGGTAGAATGCTAGCCTTGAGCTGAAGAGCTGAGGGACAGCGCCCAAGCCCAGAGTTCAGACCCCATGACCGGACCCAAAAAAAAAAAGGCCCTGAGTTCAAGCCCCAGTACACACACACACCACACACACACACACACACACACACACACACACACACACACACATGATTAATCTTGGGATCCTAGTATATACTGAGTATACCACATGCTCATAGGGAATTTAATATGTTTCCTAATTCTATATAAAGCTCAGTGAAGATGATACTGCCATTCTTATTTTACAATGGGAGAGAAAATGAGGTCCAGGGGATTTAACATTTGGAATCCAGGATTTTTAAATTTTTTTTATTGTGGTAGGTGGAGAGAAGACTGAAGGTTGAACCCAGGGCCTCAGTCCAAAATTTAATGTCTTCCCACTTTGCTAATTCAATACAAACTTAAACACTTGTTAGCCTAGCATTAGGGCATGAGAAATCTATGGTAGCAGAGACAGCTTTGTCTTCACGGAGTTGACAGTTTGGAAGGGAGAGACATACCAGCACATGTAAAACTGCAATACAGATACACCTTCACTCAGAAGCCTTAAGTCAGAATATAGAAACCTTCAGTTAGAAGAGTTGAGTATATCAAGAAAGTGACAGAAGTGGGAACCTGAAAAGCTGGGTGACGAAGATGAAGATGAAGAAGGTCCTAGGTAGAAGAGAGCAGACGTGTAGAGGCCCTCTGGTGGGAGCGAGATGGTGAAAGCAAGTCTGAAAGAAGGCCCAGGCAAATGAAAGGTGGGAAGCAAAAGGAGGCAAGGTACAGATGAGGCTCATCAAGTTATGGGGACCAGACACCACAAAACCTTGTAGGCCCCTGGAGAAGTCCTCAGGATTCAGCTTTTGGTGCATTAGACATAAGAGTTGCCTGATGTGCAGGTTTGGATCGAGAGTGAGATGAACCTGGGGCCATGAGAGATGAAATGATGAACTTGAGTCACACAGCTAATTAAGTAGTAGAGCTGGGGTTAGAGCTCAGGCTTCCTGCCTTCCAAGATTGTTAAAATGAGTCTACAAAGCTGGGCACAGGTGGCTCACACCTGTAATCCTAGCTACTCAGAAGACTGAGATCTGAAGATTGCAGTTCAAAGCCAGCCCAGGCAGGATGGCCCAGAAAAAGCCAGAAGTGGCTCAAGTGGTAGAGGGCTAGCCTGGTGCACAAAGAGGCTCAGGGACAGCACCCAGGCCTTGAGTTCAAGCCCAAAACTGAGGGAAAAAAAAGTGAGTCTACAGAAGCAAACCTCTAATGACTTCTTAATGCTAATTATCAGATGGACACATAGTAAAATTAAATTCTAGAGTAGATTATTGAGGGGTCCTGGCTT